ATCTTAGGAACAAAACGATATTGTCTTTGGTATATTTCCACTCGGTTGTTTAATAGGATTTTGGTGTTATCGACTTATAAGGGTTTCTTCGAATAATGAAGTTGACGATAATAAAATTACATTATACGTATCACTAACAACAGTTTTAACTAAATATTTGTTCTGGTGAAAATGTGAGGACATTAGATTAACTGCATACGGTCTGAATTAAGAAACGAACGGAGAATCGGAAAAGCTCTCAGTTTAAAAAGTTTTGTTGGTTGGGATGTTTCTCTAATACTTCTTTCTCTAACCACCAAGTCACAGAATACGAATGATGACACATTTATGTAGAAAACTATGATATCATAGCAGTTTTGGTTTAACTTGTAGTAGCTATTTTGCGATACTTGTCGACTGTAGGTACCTACTCCATAAATGTTTACAAATTCTCGTACTTTTTATACTCTGTATTCTCCTTCCATATTCGATATTCGAAGGAGTTCGAAGTTAAAGTTCGACTTCCCTCCTGTGCAAAGCGGATGACAGATGACTAAAGAAAGGTAGACGTGTTACCTACCTGAATCATTTCCATCCTATTTTATCGCAGATATCGGAGATTCTTTTATTCTTTCATTCATTTTTCAATTGAAAATATGGACCATCATCATCATTTCAGCCATAGGACGTCCACTGCTGAACCTAAGGACTAATCCTCCCCCAATGATTTCCACAATGGTCGGTTGGTGGCGGCCTGCATCCAGTGCGCCTTCCCGCTACCTTTATAAGGTCGTCGGTCCACCTTAACTTAAAATTTTACTTTTATTAAATTTAAAATATTTTCTTAATCTTTATTCCTCTTCTGCCTCGCATTATCCCTTTACGCGAGGTCGGCTTTCCCAATCAAGCGCCGCCATTTTCTATCTTGAACGTCTTGTTCTCTTGTCTTATTGATTGGAGATTCTTTTATTGAGACAAATTAATTGGCTACACGAGATAACTTCGTATGAAAAGGGCCATAATGAGGGTAATCATACAAATGATGAAGCCATATCAATTAACGATACGATAGCTCGGCAACTGCGAATTAGTGACGTCACCGAACATAATACGCGCTAGATAACTGGTGGTGCAAGTGAGGAGAGCTTGACAGACTACGGCAGACCAAGCTTAACAGTATTTTGCAGCAAAAATGTAAAGTTTGAGGTGGACATCCTATATCATCACTCAGCAGGTCATTTTTAGTCTCCATTGAAGGACGATCCTTCTAATTTACAGAGGAAAAGAGCATTGGCTTCCACTCCCACACTTTCTTTTAGGGTTGGGGAGGTATGTCTGATGTTTTCACTCAGCAGGTAATTTTTGTCTCCATTGAAGGAGCACGACACTCTAATTTGACGGAGGAAAACAGAGCATTGGCCAACCCCCACGATTGCTTGCCATAGGTACGGGTTGGGGAGGTGATGTTTGCATTATTGAAATAGGTACTAAAAAAATTAATATTACTTTATTTTGGACAAGTAGTTAAAAATAATAATTGCCACCGAACGAAAGTCTAATAAAGATAACTTTTAAAAAAAAATAAAAACGACTTCAAATGCGTGAACACAAATAATACCTATTCAACAAAAAAATAATCGTTCAAATTGGTTCATAATCGGCGGAGATATTGCGTATAAAAAAGTTCATCCCCAATTTTCCACCCTTGGGGGTTGTTTTTTTTATTATTAAATTTAAATGGGACCACCCTTGAGGTATTACCTATACGCCGAAAAAAGATTTGTTCAAATCGGTTCATAATTGGCGGAGTTATCGCGTAACAAACATAGAAAAAATAAAACATACGGGTCGAATTGAGAACCTTCTCCTTTTTTTGAAGTCGGTTGAAAATAGTTAAAATGTTTGCACTTTGGCTAATAGAGCCTGTATATCGTACTTAGTTGTTTTATTAAACTATTTAATTAAAGTAATTAACAATCAGCTCATCACTTGCATCGTGGCGAGTGTTTGTGACAGTAATACTATATTATACTAACTTGCATTTGAATACAATAGCGGAATAGGAAGGCCATCATTCTAGCCTTTGTTTCCACAAATAGCTAGAGCTATAGCTCTACCGTTTAACTCAGTCAGTGTCTAAGCACGGAAGCGTCACAGGAGGGGTGACATTGACATATTATTATGACATGACAGAGCATACAAATCTGAAGTCTCGATGACGTTTGACTCTCAAAAAAATCCTTCCGTGCCGCTCCCATACCTCTAACCACAGATATGGATAGATGCAGCATGTGTCAAAAATTGTATGAAGCCGAGCGTGCCACTTTTTAAACGTCATTAGTGTCATTTTAGCGAATTTTAGTGATTGCCGCAACGTAAAAGTAATCGTATCATCGTACTGCATTTGCAAAGTCATCGAATGATATCGTGTGACTCGATTCGAAAATTAATTAATTCCGGTAAAACTGATAATTTGTTAAATACAAAACCAAAAACATCTTTATATACCTTTTTAAAATAAATTAATTCTTACAAATCGTCAAATCTCGTTATTTTTTTTACTCTACCAGCGTTTTAAGACATAAATTTGTCAAGTGCATGAATACATGGATCAGTGTGTGTCTTATTGTTATGAGTAAGTACAGTTCCTTGGGATCGGTATGAGTGCACCACATACAGGGACCATGGTTTTAACTCTTAAGAGTACATCGCAGGATATGTATTAAAAACAATGCTACTTTATACTTCTTCTACTGCTACTTTATTCTAATTATTTGTTACTTGTGATGTTAATTACAATTCTCAATCCGTAAATAATTTCTTCTTTCTACCGTGTTCGTACTACTGTCCTCGTAAAATCATCGTAACCGATTGTTGTAATCGGATTACATGAACATCACTCGACCATGTATGTCCATTTGGACATATCGGAATGGCACGCTTTGACGATCAACTTGCTGTATCTACTCTAATCCATATCTGTGGTCCCGGTTGCCGGCTAACCGGCGCTGGGTACCCGGTGGTGAAGTGTATGGGCATGCCGGATTAATTACGCCGGTACATGTGAAAGCTACGTACCATGCCCATACACTTCACCACCGGGTACCCGGCGCCGGTTAGCCGGCAACCGGGACATGTGAAAAGGGCCTTACACTGACTCAGATAAGAGCTAGATCTATAGACCCTAGATCTAAATTATGTTGTTGCTGAGAATGTCAGTTTGACAGATAAGATTGATTGCGATCATTACTGTCAGTGGAATGATGATCGACAGCAGAGCGATGTTATTGCAAGATGAAGAGTTTATTCTTTATTGCCTTGATGATTGTAAACAATTGATTTCCTATAGTACTTAGTAATGTGGAAACGTGCATTCATTGTCACTTGTTTTGTATTTTCACGGGACTATTCCCACCTCTCGTTCCCACCGCTGCAAATCCTGTGTAGCCAGGATCTACAGCTTGACCGCCAATAAAAACCCAACCAGTGAAAGTCAAGTTTGTCCCGGGAGAAAGTTAAATTGTCATTGGACCCGCAACGAAATTAATCAGAAGAACATAGGAGGAGTTTGAAGTTAAGGTTCGACGTTCGACTTCCCTCCATTGCAAAGCGGTTGACAGGTCACAAACAAAGGTTTAAGTAACCTCTTTTCTTAAGTCTTGTATGCGTAAGATAGCCAGTTCTTTGCTGGTTGACGATTCCGGGTGAAGTTCACTTCCACCTTCGGCCTAATCATCACATCATCAGGAGAGGCAGGCCAAGAGCTTCCACGTTGTGGATTAATAAAAGTATGCCATTGCTTGTTGTGTATTATTAAAATTACAGTAAGTACGTACAGTCAGGGTGAAATAGTTGGTGACACCCAAAGTAGCCGAAAAATTCACAACACGTTTTTGTTACAATAGGGTATTTTACTCCATGTAAGAAAACATATAAAAGTGCACGTCTTTATTAGATTTCAAAAAAATAAACGGGCAACGTTGAAAATTTTCATAAAAATGCAAATAATATTTTTAAATTCACTTTTACCTTCAGTAAAATATCAATTATTTTAATTTGTGCATGCTTTGAATTTCTTATGGCTTTATTTACCCTGCAAGCATGACATCAATGTACACAGATGTACAGTGTACTACTAAATAACAGCAAACATTACACGTTATGCTATCACCTATTGTCTTAAAGACAAGTAGTTTTACAATGTGTGACATAATCTTGCATAAGTTTTGTCACGAGGATCAAGCTCTGTAACACGTTGTATGGTACCGTATAAATAAAACTGTTTGCACATAATCATCATCATAATTTTTAGCGTAGGACTTCCACTGCTGACTTCCCTCATCAAACATGACCTTATAATGGTTAAATACGCTCAAAACTTCTCAATCTTTTGTTCCCAGTCTAAATGTTGAATTCAAAGATTCAGTTTTGGAAGTGGACAGACGACTTTATTAAGGGCCCTTTCCCACGGAAATCCAATATTGCGGGATTCAGTAATGTAGGATCCCGCAAAACGGGACTGTTAGAGAACACATGTGGATAGTCAGGATCTTAACATACTAGGTATTATCTTACTTAGCTTGGCATTGGAATTAACATTGAATTTAATGTTTCAGCTGTTAACAGCAAAACATTGTCTTCATTATTTAAAAATCTATGAAAATTCCAATATCCGTAGAGCATTTCTACTGCATGTCGCGAATTTACACAAAAACTACAACGAAATGACAAGCCATTGTACATCCCAGTTAGGTATGATAATTCCAACATTAAGCAATAATTTGTGTGTTAGATATTTTATTAGGTAAGTAAGTATAATATGAATCCTGAAGAAAACATTTCTCAGAAAGTCTTGTTTTAAATTTGTAGTTGTATGTAAGTTATTTAAATCGGTGTACGGTACGAACTATTACTCGTAAATGAAAGATAAACCGTCCGCGTGTGTAAACAATGCAAAAAACAATCATAATAATTACTCTATTTTCGTTGATCTCATACGAATCCAGACACGCGCTCTCAAAACGCACGCGCAGTCAGTCTCGCGACGCGCACCGAAACGCGCACTCCTGCGCACATCCAAATAAATCCTAGCATTTACATACATTAACATATCGAATAATCATTGTAAATATTACAATGTGTGGTAAATAAATCTACTTGCACTCAAACTTTCAGTGAAGTGACGTGTTTTAGTAAAAAAAAAAAATCTTAATTTAGAGTTCAATAAAAGACCAAATTTAACAATGAATCAAAGCAATGAACAGGACAATAAACAGGAAGGGGATGCTTCTACTCCTGAGGTTACGCCTGGCACTCCTGAGGATACACCTTCTCCAGCCACTTCATCCACGAATAAGTTCAACTGGCTCAAAGCTAGAGCAGCCCAGAACAGGAGAGCAAATCCCTTCGTGAAACCGCGCCCCTCTCTTACAAGAGAGAGCTCGACAGCCGAACTGTTTTCGAGAGAGAATTCCAGCAGCGACTTCTTCCAGAATTCCAGGTTGAACCTGTTTGAGACCGCTCCGAAACCTGAGGGAGAAAACAGAGGATTTGTTAAGGTATTTACTCGTATACGTAGTTATGTATTGATAAACCTATTATTTAAATCGCTTTAGTCAAAAATTTGCAAAAACCAGTGTATCTTCATTCAACAAACCATAAGGTATTATCTGCCAGTTAACCTTTGGTCTATCGTTTGGCTATTGGCTGTGCTTTGATGTAAGTACGAGCATGATTCAATTCAATTTTAATTTCTTTTTGCCGGACGGGATCAAACTCGCAACTGCTGGGCTGGCCAGATATCGAAGTTTTCAACCATTACACCAATTCGTTTAATGATTTAAGGAGTTGTTACAGTTTCGTTTTTACTCTCTAGATCTTTAACTGTAGCTGTCCTATCCTGGCTACACAGGAGTTGCAGAGGTGGGAATAGTCCCGTAGTTTAGTTTCGTGTTTACAAGAAACATTCCATTGAAACTACTTGAAACTCTAGTTGTTTTTCCCCAGATAAATAGATGTTTATTGGACACAATGAGATAATTTATAATTATAACAGCGTCAAAGAAGGATGTACTTATTGCTAGAGACGATTTCTTCCTGACAATGAATAGGTAGAGCAAAAGCAAAGAAGCAAATAGTAGAGTGGTAGGCGTTGTTTAGAGAAGGTACCTACTTACGCCCGTATTCACAAACGATGGTTGCTTAAGTGAAGCAGCAAATCGAACGCACAGCGACTAGAGCTTTGTGATTGGTTCATGTGTCACCCTGTGCGTCCACGCGCACTGTGAGACCTCATAGTAATGTTTGGAATACGGGCGTAAATGGTGAGATACAAAACTTAATAGGCCTGGTTTAGTTTTGGATATCTGGATGAACTATAAACAAACTACATACCGTGTTCTAAATAAATAAATAAATAAATACGCATTCACCTTTCGCGCCATCGTGGTTAAAAATAGATTTAACCTCCTAGAGATTATTCGTGTAACATCTCAATTATCAATATGAAACAAACAATACATAGTTAACATAACGTATAATAATATGGCGTAAGAGCGTGGCGCCTGTTATCAACGTCATTTGTGACGTCATTGAATCGGCTGAATACAAATAGATCAGCTGATTTGATGCCAAAATTAAAGTATGTATTATACTATGTATGAAGAAGGTATTTATAGAATAGTCTTTGCCCGTAACTCCTTTACCGTAGATTTTCTCAATGATGGTGATTGTGATCTTGTGGAGTTGTGTAGAGTGACGCCCGTGTTCACAAACATTACTATGAGGTCTGACAGTGCGCGTGGACGCACAGGGTGACACACGAACCAATCAGAGAGCTCTATTCAACGCTGTGCGTTCGATTTGCTGCTTCACTTAAGCAAGCATCGTTTGTGAATACGGGTGTGAGTGTTTCAGGGTTGTTGATTTACTTCTGAGTCTATAATTAAATACCTACTTATAAGTACCTATAATATAAGATCTGGGTAGAACAAGATATTTGTCACAACGCGCGTGTGCCAGTTACCTAAAAAAAGTTCAATGCACGACAACAAAGTGCGCGTAAATTGACAATGTTTTATAGGTCTTCAGAAGTAGTAGGGCATATTAGTGAACTCGGTAGTCGCAAGTTCACAACGTACACCATGGAAGATAAATTAATAAATATGTTAAAGTTACCATGTATTTATAACTACGTATTCATTAGGATTTCTTCTTCATTTCAATGCGTCGTTAGATACCTACACTTGAAAACATCTCTAAGTTTCCCAAAGTCTTGCTTGGTGAACAATAAACCACCACTTTTCTATTTTTCAAGGTGAGAGTGAATAGGCACTTACAGGGCAGATTTGGACCATCCTACACTGCATATCTACCACTTAACAATTGTGGTCAAAAAATACCTGCCTTTTTATGCATAAAAAAAACCTTTAATATTTAATATCTACGAACTTGCAGCTGGGAGAGCTTTCAGCTTTCAGCTCACCTAACTTGGTTCGTAGACTCTGTGGCCGCCTCATCGTTGCAAATGTTGCAAAAGGTGTTATTCTACAACAAAAGTATACAATGTAGTATTCTGCTATACTGTCATTTGTAATTATGTATGTACCTTTAAATATTCAGTGAGCCCTTATTGATGTGACCTATGCTGTTCGTACAATCGCTATCGATGAAATCGATCCGGGCGGAACATCGGGTCGTGTTTATTTCGGTCAAGGATTACGTTCCGCAGATGTGATGATAAACCGTATATACAGGACATGTGACGCACTTGATCTCTGAGGCGATTAATCGAAGTCATCGAGAGATTTCTACGATCGTTAGGCAGTTTTCTGACTTGTCGGAAAGGTTGATTGGGGCCAATCAGGAACGCTCCATTGAAATATAGGTGCTCTGTAAGCTTTAGGTATCGCGTATGCCGAGCGTGGATGTCGTGCCGCTGTATGCCGCGCCGACGGCCGGCCGCCGAAGGCGTAGTCACACGTTACATATACCTACCTACCGTAGCACTTTGTCAACGTGTGACTGCGGTTTTCCAAACATGAAAATTACTATGCAACTCTCATCTCAACATTAGCAATTCTGAAAATCTTGTTTTATACTTTTTCAGCGTCGTTTTTTGTCGTACCTAGTTGGGTTTTAGTTTTTTTTTAAAGATCAACATTTACATATCGGTAAGAACGAAGAGCACTTAAAGTTAATGAGTACGACTGCCGTTTGGTTTAAATACGTCGAAATATATGGTTTGTTTTATCATCAGGCCATTTAGTCTCCATTGCAGGAGCTCGACCCTATCCCATTTACGATAAACCAGAGGCAAATGGAAGATTTCGTCTACAATCCCCACATTTTCTGATGGGTCTAGTTTGTGGAGGCCTGGTGTTCGCATATTTTTTTTCCTTAGGGTGGATTCGACCAAACGAGAGTAAAAATATTAATCTCAGAACAAATCGTCAGTTTTGACATATTTCCCATATACTAAAACTGTCAATGTGCCAGTTACACCGAGAGTTATTCTCGGATAAAAGTTTGGTCGAATCGGGCCTTAATCGATTTTTTTGGGGATTCTTCCAAGCAATCGTATAAGTGAACACAAATCATATAAAAACTATTTCCTATCTACTATTTCATACGTAGTATCGGTTCTAACAAACATAATTCGCAAGTCCTTATCTAGTAATATTTTGTGGTAAAACTTTATGTCAACAATTTTATTCTAAAAGCGAATTAAATCAAATATTTGCTTACTTGGTTCGTTCGTTTCAGCCAGGACAAAGGCTTCCTCTAAACATTTCCATTATGACCGGTCCTGCGCTATCCGCATCCAGGTCCATTTGCAACACTAGACTTGTTCGAAGTAAACCTAATCCTAATGACACTTTCTGCTTGTACGAGCTCAGAATATGCCTTTATTAAGTAAAAACTTCCTTTTGTTACGTTTTGAGCCAGAATTTCATATTCTAATTAATGACTAAAAATTCTAAAAAATACCCGTAGATCTTCGATTGAAAACAACTTTTTACTCGGCTACTACGCAAGAGATTGAGGGTTCAATTCCCGCACATCACAAACATTTGTGGGCATAAACAGGTCGTCTCTACACATTGATCCAAATGCTTATTTTATAACCTATATGTATAGAGAAAAAGTATTCCAAGGATGTTAATTAAAAAATATGGCAAGCCCATCCATAGTGCAGCAGCGTCAAATAGTTCATAACACCCAAAGTGGCCAAAAAGTTGACAACACAATCGTATTCCAATGAGGGCTATCGTTTTAGCGCTCACCAGTTAGCGCCACTGTAGAGTAAGGTCCTGTCACTTGCTAGTAGCGAAGACAGTGGCACCAACTGGTGAGCGCTAAAGTGGTAGGAGGACTATCGCATTTGCACTCATCAAGATGGCGCCACTGTAGAGTAAGGTCCTGTCAATCGCCAGGGGTGCCAACTGGTAAGTATAAAAACGATAGCCCTCATTACCGTCACATAGTTCGTAACACCATACTTATTATTATTCTGTGGTAACACCCAAAGTGGCCAAAAAGTTGACTACACAATCGTATTCCAATTACAAAGACGTGTTGCGAACTTTTTGGCTACTTTGGGTGTCACGACACGAACTATTTGACGCTGACTGTAAGACTAGAGCACCAATCAAGCCAAAAGCTGTAGCATCTTATTATCGTTGTAGTATGTGTCATTTTGCAACAAAAACGTATAATCTGAGCGTCTGTTCACTGCACGTCTGTACCTAAAGTATGTAAACTGCCTGCACGCGTATTGTAGAGCATACAATGTCTTTCTTAATTTCAATTGATCCCCGATTGGCGTGTCCTGTCGTAGGTACCCTGTTTCCTGGTTCCAATCGTAAAGTAGATCCCATCAAAAACAATACTTGTCAAAAAAACCAAGTCTCGCAACCCAGGAAATCTTTAACGTTTTACATAAATTATTGACTTGGCCATCGCACTAAATAATAATTTAATTTATTCGTGTTTTCATGCGANTCATTTGTGCAACACTAGACTTGTTCGAAGTAAACCTAATGACACTATCTGCTTATACGAGCTCAGAATATGCCTTTAGTGTTTTACGTAAAAACTTCCTTTTGTTACTTTTGGAGCCAGAATTATGAATTCTAGCAAATGACTTAAAATTCTAAAAAATACCCGTAGATCTAAAACTCAGTAAAACTCATTTATTTCTGTAAGTAGGCTTTAAAAAAGCACGTCCCAGTATTAACCCTACCACAGCTTCAGGACAATAAATGGGCCAGTGCTGAGAAGAAGCAGCGCAAGAAACTCAGACACTATTGTCAGCCTCTTTTTCAAAGGTTTACAGGTTTTCAAAATACATACTTAGTTATAGATATTTATGCGAGCTAGGCTGTTACGCATCCCAAACATTTTTATCTTTCAGTTTTTTCATTAATACTTTTAATATGTGCTTTGAATTTATGAATGGGTAGTTTTACAACAGTTTGTGGTAATTTATTAAATAATTTAATCTTCAACTGTAAACAACTTAAATACTCGGCTACTACGCAAGATATTGAGGTTCCAT